AAAATGTACCACAAAAAAACTTTATAAACATAATGTTCTAAACTTAAAAGAAAGATCTCATACTCTTAATAAAAAGAAAAAGAGAGATGATAAAGACCCAATTAAGAAAGCATCTCTTCCAAGAGGCTGCATGTATCAGGGGTACTGGAAAGATACCAAACATGCCAAAGAATTAAATCAAACAGAAATCATAAACCTAGGGGGTAAGAAACATCCCAAGCTCTCTCTCTAAGAAGATAGAAAAGAAAAAGCCTAATGATGCCAATGTAATACGTTCCCTTTATCACATTCTCCCCCATTCCCTAATCAGGCAAGAATCTCTCTTGGAAACTTTTCAAGACAGGGTTATTACACTAAATCTACCTATGTTAATTCTGAGGGAGAAAATCTGACTTGGAAAAACAACATCTCTCGTTACTTAGAGGAAGTGAACAATGGCTAGTGACAACTGTACGGTGAAATAGTTCAGTCTTTTTCTGTAATCCTTCATGGTAGGCTGTTTCTGCTAAGTGCCTCGTTCCATCTCTCTTGATGGGATGAATCAAACGCTCTCCACAGACTGGCAGGCCTCTCTGCTCACAGCAACACTGACTTAATAAGGATGACCAAAGAGATGGCAAAAGGACTTACGTACTCACACTGATTGAAATTCTCTTTCCCAAGATGAAATATTAACTGCCCACTAAATTACAAATGAAATGACAGCCTCTAGCAAGACACATTCCACACAAAGTGTGAACAAAATATTCTGGAAAAAAGTTGGGAAAGGTAGTCAGCCGTGAGAGGCTAGAAACAGGAAGAACTTTGTCAAAAGCTTAGACTTCTGTCTCCTCTATGTCTCACCTCCAAATAAAAATATTAAAAAATGCCGGGCTCGGTGGCTCAGCCTGTAATCCCACGCCTTTGGGAGGCTGAGGTGAGTGGATTGCCTGAGCCCGCGGGTTCGAGACCCGCCTGGGCAGTGAGACCTCATCTCTACAATAAATAAAAAACTCAGCCGGGTGTGGTAGCGCATGCCTGTAATTCCGGCTACTTGGAAGGCTGAGGCGGAAGGATCGCCGGAGCCCAGCAGGTCGAGGCTGCGGTGGCCGGGAGCGGCCATTGCACTCCAGTCTGCGCAACAGAGTGAGACTCCAACTCAAAAAAAAAAAAAAATTAAAAAATATGTAAAAACCTGGCAGTCCACAGAACCCTCGGCCTTGGTTTAGCATCATCAAATTCTGTCTACAATGAACTCTGAACAGAATGAGATATGATCATTATTTCCACTAGGAAGATGCCACCTCTCAACTGTGACACTGAACTACAGGAGAGAGTTCAAAATGGTTGTGTTCTAACATAAAAGAATGGAACTTCATTGCTCAGAAATGAGAGACGTTAATTGATTGGTAACATTCTAAGACTGTTTATTTTGTCAATTAAACTTGGAAGTATATAAGCCACCTAACTATGTAGATGAGTTATTCAAGAATGTTAACTGATTTTAACCATTGGAGATCAATGAATCACAAGGTTGTGAATGCTTCAGTAATTTATGTCCATGATTTTATACAGAAAACCTAAACCACTACACACTAATAAGAATTTATAACATCTTAAAATTACCCAGCGTTAGGTAAGCTCTCCTGGGTACAACAGAAAAGATGAAAAGTCTGTTTATAACTAAAAATAAGATACCATTGAATCTCACACACAGAGAGACAAACTGTCAGCCTAAAATACAAACAGCTTAAAATTTAAACACCAAGATTAGTAAATTAGTCTTTCAAAATTAAAGCCAAAGAAATTTCAAAAGACTAATTTATTATATATTACCCTTCATGTTTGCTATATATGAACATGATTTCATCTAGACATATATATGCAGATCAAGGCCTTTCTTATGAAAGTGGGCATTTGATTACATTAAAAACTACTCCATATAGGGAAAAATCTTTCTGAATTTGTAACAAGGTTTAAGACAATCATATTATACCCAAGAATGTCTCACAACATTGATATTTATAATGTGAGAAAAAAAATGGAGACCCTATCTCTACAGAAATATATACATTACAAACAATAATAATAAGCAGGCATGTTGGTATGTGCCTGTAGTCCTAGAAACTGGGGAGGCTGGGGTGGGAGAATCACTTGAGCCCAGAAAGTTGAGGCTGCAGTGAGCTATGATCATGCCACTATATGCTAGCCTGGGTGACAGAGTGAGATCCTGTAAGAAAGAGAAGGGGAATAAGGGGAAGGAAAGGAAAGGGAAAGAGAAGGGAAGGGAAGGAAAGGAAAGGAAAGATCAACAATGAGAAAATGATAAAGTATGCCTATAATGTAATATTTTCCATTCATTCAAAATATTTTCTAATAAAATTCACACCAGGGGAAGTCCCTATAAGAAAAATGCAGAAATAATCAGGATACAAATATGTAAACATAGCACGACTCCAGCTGTTTGTGTATATTCACTAATATTTCAATTCTTGTTGTTGCAGTGTTTCTGAGTTAAAAAATAATTTTATTTTGTTCTATTCTACAAGCTTCTCAAATTTTCTACAATGATAGATACATGTTATTTAAAACAAAGTCAGCGAGGTGGCCATGCCTAACTGGCAATGAGCATCTCCACTCTCTCCCAGCATGCCTTCCTATCTACGTGGCAGAGGCTGCCAGGCTAAGGTTCCACATCCCAAATGCCTCTACAGGTCAGCATCTGAAGACAAATTGGATTCCACCTATTCAGGGTCAATGGTGTGGGGCATTCGTTTTTTGAGTCAGGATCTCACTCCGTCGCCCAGGCTGGAGCAGTGACACAATCACAGCTCATTGCAGCCTCAGACTCCTAGTCTCAGGTGATCCTTCCACCTTAACCTCCCCGGTAGCTGGGACTCCAGGCATGAGCCACCATACCAATAATTTTTTATTTTATTTTTTGTAGAGACAGGGTCTTGCTATGTTGCCCAGGTTAGTCTCAAACTCCTGGGCTCAAGCAATCCTCCTGCCTAGGTATCCCAAAGTGCTGGGATTACAGGCATGAGTCTGTAAATTTAATTAGGTCTATTTCAAACAAAATTAAATGCCACAAGGCCTATTGAAAAACTGGATTCTGCTTCATTGGATAGTCCTCTGCATGATAAAGTCCTCAAAATTTCAAGCAAATTTTACTGAAAGATACTACAATGCGGTTCTTCATCAAATCTATAAAAACAAAACATTCTAGGAGAATAAGCTTAACAGTTAAATGAAAGAAATAGAGAGGAAGGAAGGAAGGAAAAAAAAAAAGAAAGAAAGTGGGCTGGGAGTAGCAGCTCTTGCCTGTCATCCCAGCACTTGGGGAAGCAGAAATGGGAAGATTGAGTCCAGGAGTTCAAGACTAGGCTAGGCAACACAGTGAGACCTCATCTCTACAAAAAATCAAAAGATTAGCAGGGTGCAGTGGTATGCATCTGTTGTCCCAGCAACTTAGGAGGCTGAGGCAGAAGGATGGCCTGAGCGAGGAGGCTGAGGATGCGGTGAGCCATGATCATGCCATTGCACTCCAGCTGGGTGACAGAGTGAGACACTGAATCAAAAAAGTAAATACAATCTATTATTTTCCTACTAGATTCTTCTCAGTTTACACTGTATAGTCCATGTACTTTTTTTTTTTTTACTTGCGTTAGTACAAATAAAAGTTTGTTGACATGCAAAACTATTTTAAAGGAAATATTTTGGCCAGGCTCAGTGGCCTGTAATTCCAGTACTTTGGGAGGCCAAGGTGAATGAACTGCCTGAGCCTGCGGGCTTGAGACCAGCCCGAGCAACTTGGCAAGACCTTGTCTCTACAATAAGTCAAAAATTAGTTGGGCATGGTAGTGCACACCTGTAGTTACAGCTACTTGGAAAGCTGAGGCGGAAGGATTGCCTGGGCTCAGCAGGTTGAGGCTATGGTGGCCGTGAGCATGCCACAGCACTCCAGCCTGGTCGACAGAGTGAGACTTTTACTCAAATATGTGTATGTGTGTGTGTATGTATATATACACTATATATATATATATATATATATTGTTTAATAGGCCTTTTATATAAATGCAAAGGATAAACCAAGCAACTATCCAGCTACACACACTTTGATATTGTGATTAGAATTGCTTCTACATTTCCCAATACATACTGTGCTAAATTATTGGCTGAATTGAAAAATGTTTGTTAATCTATTCAACAGGTGCTCTTGAGTATCTATTCTACACAGATTCAGCAGTGAAAATAACAAACACAGCTTAAAGCTTATTGGGTAACAGGTTAAAGGTATGACAAAAATGGGGCCAGAAGGGTTCTGTAGGAATATGTGGCAAAGAACACGAAATTTTTTTTAAAAATATACTGCAAAGACTAAAATAAGGCTTATTTGTTTACACTAAACAAATTAGGTCAAGGACTAAAATAAATGAGGTGAAGGAAGAAAATATTATTAAGACTGGATGGCACACTTGCATTTTGTAGGTAGACTTACAGAAGATAAAATTATCATTTGGGTAGTCAGAATAAAATGACCAGGAAGCCCACTTTTATCCTCAAAAATCCATAATGCTATAAGTTATTCAATGTATCCCATGAGCCAATGTGAATAATTCTTACACACATGTAAAACACCCCCAGAAGGATATATAAAAAGTAAATAAAGGGGTCACCTATGAGAAGAAATGGGGGTGATCAGGAGAAAAAGAAAGGGACTTTATATGGTACACATTTCATGTTGAAAGCGTTCATTTTTAAGCATAGGAATACTTTATCTATTCAAAAACTGGACACATTAATGAGTACCACACATGGTATCAACTCTTATCAGAAAATTTAAGCATGATAGAAAATAAAAGTTTATCTGAGCTTTGATGTGAAAGTCTAATACACAAAAAAAGGCCATAGTGAAGCTGCCCTAGAAGCCTATGGTCTACCCCAGAGGTGATGCTCGTAACTGATACCAAGAAGAGAGGAGGGGCAGAGGATGACAGGAAAAAAAGAGCGGTGGCTACCTTCCTATCGCAGGTTTTAGGACTCCCAGTGGTGTTCTGCTTGAGGAAGCCAGCTGTGGTGGACCACCGTGTGGGGTTCTTTCTTGAAGGCTCTTCAGAGGAAAAATTATTATCACTGACAGAAGTGGAGAGGCCAATTAGCGCTGGGTCACTGCTTCGTCGTACATGAAGGGGCATATCTGTAAATACAGAAACATGTTGTGTTTAAAAAGAAGATACCATTGTCTGAAGACAAGTTAGTATAATGTACTGAAATCTCAAAGATTGAAGAACAGAATAACACATTTCAAAAAGGGACAGTCAGTCAGCATTCTAAATACAGATTCCATTAGTTTCTCAAAATATGGTGACAGGGACAAGGTGAAGTGTCAGCTCCTAGCTGGATGGTCTGGCCTTCTATGTGGGCTTCACTACTTGTTATTTGTGTGGTTTTGGCCAAGTTGCCTAATGGTTCTCTGCCTCTAGTCCCTTTCAACTCAAATTACAATAAAACAGTACCACTTTCTTCAGGGTAATGTGAGAATATAAATGACATAAAGTGTTTTAAACAGTACCTGGCATATGGTGTATATGTACTTAGTAAAGACTAACAATAACAACCATTACTGTGATCATTAGCCCAATATTTCTAAACAAGTTAGTATATATGTCATAAAAAATAAATAGTAAATCTAAACTACTAACTTTTAATCATATCTGTAGGATTAAAAGTATAGACTCTACATAGTTAACAATAATTTATCATGTATTTCAAAATAGCTAGAAGAGAAGATTTGAAATGTGTCCAGCCCAAAGAAATGGCAAATAGCTGAGGTGATAGATATAGTATATATGCCATAAAAAATAAATAGCAAATCTAAACAACTAACTTTTAATCATATCTGTAGGATTAAAAGTATAGACTCTATATAGTTAACAATAATTTATCATGTATTTCAAAATAGCTAGAAGAGAAGATTTGAAATGTGTCCAGCCCAAAGAAATGGCAAATGGCTGAGGTGATAGATATCCTAATTACCCTGATTTAACCACTATACATTGTATGCATGTATAAAAATATATGTACCCATGTGTATAATTATTATATATCAATAAAAAGAACTTTTGTTTACTTTCTTTCCAGACTGGTCTCAAACCCGTGAGTTCAGGCAATCCTTTCACCTCAATCTCCCAAAGTGCTGGGATTATAGATGTAAGTCACTGTGCTCAGTCATAAAAAAACTTTTCAACACATGCAAAAAAATGCAGAATCTAGACAGCATTTGGCTAGTCGATTAAATAATTTATTTAATAAAGTTTCTTTGGCTCAATAAAGTAATATCAGAAACCATAAAGTACAAATATATTTCTTATCTTTAAGATAAAGAAAATCCTGAAAGTAATATGTGAATACACAGGTAGTTTTTGCCATACACACACACACATACAATCACATGAAAGACAGTATTTTAGCAACTGTACTCACAGAGACAAAGCGTTTACTTGCAATCCCTATAACAAAATCAATATCAAACTCAGGAGAACATTTGTATCAGTGGCACTGAGAACATGTTGACAGATACCACCATTGTTATAGCAGAGAAGAAACAGAACTACACAAAGTAGAAAGAGGAAGAAAAGTCCCGGAATCTGCAACAGTTAGGACCTCAAGCAAAGGTCTCAGGAACCCAGAGTGAAATCACTTAAAAACATAATAAACATAAGACCCAAAATGTAAGCTATGCTTGCAATAACCTGCTTTCGTAAACTAGGATAAGTTAAATATTCATTTAAAAGCCTCTAACAAAGCAGCTTTAACCATGAAGCAATAAACTCATCATTTACTCTATGAGAAACGTTTTTGAAACATTGATGCACTGGTCAATGATATGGCTACACAGATCCTTGAGTATGCTAAAATAAAGACACCCTACCTGTGTACATTGAAGGCTGTGTGTAAAACAACTGTCAACACATTAGTTCCAAAATGTTAAAGTAAATTAGAAATAATCAGAGAAAACAAAAGCATATGAATCATAGTCATACTGCGTTTCACACTGTCTTCTACATCATAAGGATTTGATAACAATAATACAGCCTGAGCAACATTACCAGAGAAATAATATGTTCAACATTTAATTTAATATTGTTGGTGGTTATCCTAATTTGCTGGGAGAAACACACATGAAAATTACAGAGAATGATATCTGATGTTTTGGTATGTGTAAATACCTGTGGCAGCCCTTGATGCTTATAATTTGCACAAAAATAAATAAAAAATAAAAAAGAGATATATAGTCACTCTATAGTTATAAAAATACACATCTGAGAATCTATATTACAATCCCCTTACTATAAGGAAAGTTCTTTACAAAGAGGAAACAAAATTATTTCCAGAATCATCACACAACAAATATAAGCAGAAAAGTAACAAAATGGAGAAGGGAGGGGAGGAGAAGACTGAAATACTTTCAGACAACTGCAATACTGTTACTTAGCTATGGGTGCCTCTGCTTTCCAATTACAGGTTTGTTAATTACTCAGCTGTTAAGTAACTCTGTATACCTCAATCTCTCTCACCCTCCCTCCCTTGCTCTCCCTTCCACCCGCTGTGTGTGTCGATGTCTAAAAGAAGCACTATTAACTCACAAGAGAAGGCCTTTCAAAAATGGTACAAACATAGGACCAAAAGCAGTACTCTCTGTCTTTAATAAAAATAACCTCATCAAAATATATTTCAATCCCCAAACAAACTCAAGGATCATATAATTCCATTGAATTTGCTTGGTCACAATAAAACAGCTCACTCTACTTGTGTTTGAAGTTTTCCTTAAGAGAATACATTGCATACATGAGTACGATTAGATAAGTCATCTGGACCACCTTCTTCTGGTCAAACATGAATGCTGTGTTCATGTTAGTCTGCAACAGACAAAAATAATTAGTATTTATCTCTACATATCTGTAACTCTCTAAAGAAAATGTGAATGTGAGGAGAGGATTAGAGATGAGACAGCTTCCAGAGGGGACTGCAACCCCTGTAGGATGTCTCTTCCAGGTGGGTGCTGGCAGAGAACCAGGAGGCATTTATAGAAACTGCAGTGGGAGGGATGCCTCAGGAGACCTTCCATTCCGTGCCCTTCCTGGGAGTTCTTTCCAAGTCAAACTTTTGGTTTTCATCCTAGTGATATCAAGTAATGACAATAATACTAATATAGTCTGGATCTTTCATTTGTAGTACCTCGTAACTGAATATACCCATACAATTTCAGGCCCCATGTTTACATCTATGTCTATTGTCTGATTCAAAAAATGTCCTAAATTTGATTACCAGGCTGATAAGAAAAGAACAACCCAATTAAAGAAGTGAACACTGTGTTCTCACCAAAAAGAATGCCAAACGACATCATAACGCTGTTGAAAGTAAGATTTTCTTACAGATGGAAGTGCTGTAAGGTCTGAGTCACTATATATAATACACACAAGCAGCAAAACCAGGTCCCTATGAAAAGAACTCCTGTGACCACAGCAAGGCATCACTGTCTCTCACAATAATGGTGTCCATTTGGACTTGTATTAGTTTATGATTTCTTCTTGATTTTATGATTGCATGAAGAATATACGGCATTTTATGAAGTTTACTTGTATACACAAACACGTTTAGTAACACTGTATTAGAATCAAGGACTTAACAGGGAGGGACTGGAACCTTTCTTATTATTTAAATGAGAACCATATTAGTCACATGGTATAACGTGTCCCACTTCACAGATGAGTAAACTGAGGCTCAGAGAGATGACACAAGGAGGACAGGGTCACAGAACAATCTTCCAGTCAAGACTCCCAAGCCAGTGTACAATCACAAATCACAAATTATGAAATAAGTTCTATCACTCAGCAGTGTGTTGGGAAACCAGTTCCATTTCTAGCTACTTGTGGATATAAATGTTCATCTCGGTTTTGTAAGAGAGAGGAATTTTGTTGTTTTCAAAACAGGCTTATGCACTGAGAAATCATACACTAATTTTAACTTACACCATCATTTCATTTTGGGGAGAGGAAGAAACATTACTCTACCCAACCACACACATAGATTGTGAGGCATCCAACTTTTAAAAATGCTAAAATAGGAAAAGAAGGCATAATAAGCTATGGTTAAATGGATGAAGTACAATGTGTAAGATAATAAAGCATGCCCAACAGGGAATAGGCTTAGGCCAGTGGTACCCAGACTTCAATCTCAGGACCATTCATGCTCTAAAAATTGAGCAACTCAAAGAGTTTTTGCTTATGTAAGTTATAGTTAGTGACATTTACCATTTTAGGAGTGAAAAGGAGGAAAAAAGTTAAATATCTATGCATTAATTCACCTTAAAGTAACAATAATAAACCCACACATAACACAAATCATAATTTTATGAAAGCCCTATTTTACCAAAAAAGGTGTATTTTGTGGGAAGAGCAGCAATGTTTTACATTTTACTTAACAGAAGACATGAATTATCATATCTGCATCTGCATTCAATCAGCTGCAGTAAGGCTAAGCATATGAGGAAAAAAAGTACTTCCTAAATATGTAACTAGAAGAGGCAATCATACTTTAATAGCCTTTCCAGAAAATTGTGGATATGCTTCTTTGATACCACACCAAAACTTGAGCAATGGTAGTTTCCCAAAGGTCAGCTGCAACATGGATGTAAATTTTTCTTTCTTTGTTGCATTAAAATCTATTTTTCTGTCTCACACTTTTCATAAATTTTCTACCCATGAAAAATCCCATAACATTAGTTATTTGGAAAATATTAGCCATTGAGTTGTGCCCATCTTCCAAATGTTGATACATATTTTCATATCAGAAAATCATATATGTTAATATCTCCATCAATTTCATCAGAAAAGCCTTTACATTTTGGGAAATGGTCATGCTCATGGTGGCATATAAGTTTTCCAAAACCTGATTTTCAATAGAAAGTTTGAATTTTATCTTTGGCAACAAAAGGCATCAGATTTTTGCCTTTAAGTGACAGGCCTATGCCATTCACTCTTTAAAATCTTTTTGACAGATCTTAAGTCTGAATAACCACAGATTTTTTGTGCATCTTTCGAACAGAAATGTTGTTCCATGAAAAAATGGCTACCTCAACGCATAACTCAAATCATCTCATAGAAGGTGTTCCCAAGGCAACCCCTGAGCTCCATA